TTAGCTATAAAGATGCTACGAGTCAGAGCCCAACATGCTGAAAATGGCTTTTTATGAATGTCAAGGAAACATATACGTATTTTCTATTAACTTTTGGATAATTTCTCTTTTATCCTTGGCTTCAGCCTGTGAACCAGGACGTCTCAGAAGTCATTGAGTTCTCCCAGTGAGACCAGCAGACTGAAGCCTGTGACCAGTGCTCCCAGTTTAATAAATAAATGTTTTATTCTTTCACTTTTTGTGTAAATATCTCAATCTGAAGTATCACGGTATTAATGCAGCTTATGTAATGAAATAAAAATAATTTACTCTGTTACAATTATCTTCACTCTTTGCTAGTTGACATCCTGTAATAAATATTTTTATCTGGAAAAAAGTAAGAAAAATATGTAGTTTAATGTTTGACAGTGGCTGATTTATAAATCTAAAGTCATTTCTCAATAATGTATAAAAAATAAATACAAGAAAAATAATTTGTTTCCTGTCTTGAAACGTTAAATGTACATTAAATTATGGAATTATGTAAATATGTTCTTTAACTAAACACTGTAAAAGTGTCTGTTCATCAATGTCAATATAAAAATGATCAGAATCATTTCTATCAAATAAAAACATCGTGCTCTTTATTCAGAAATGCCCCGAAACAATTAAATAATCACATCAAAAGTTAGAAACTCTCTTTAGTCATTTCTTTGATTGCCAAATATATTAATGTGTGAGAAAATGTGTCAATGACAGGAATTAATTTAAAATACTTTGTAGAACGGCACTTTGAAGTTCGGTCCATTTACCTGTATTAGCTTACTGGCAGAGATGCCACATTCAATATGGCGGACGCTGAGACGTATCGCAGCAACGGGCCGGCCCGCTCCATGACCTATGGCCCGCTCCATGACCTATGACCCGCTCCATGAGGCGTCTACGTATTCATGTCTATAGGTGGCGGTAAATGCACCTTACATTAGTTGCCATCTGCCAATAAAACACAGAAGAAGAAGAAGAAGAAAAATGGGAAACGGCGAGATTGTCTGTGGTTTTATATCCGGTTACATTTTTATAGTAAAGTTTATTTTTAATTAATGAACACATTTCAAACAGTAACAGATTCATGATCCCGCACTGACATGTTTCCCTCCTCTCTGACGACCTAAAGTTCAGAACAGAACCGGGTTTAGAACATACAGACAGCAAGCCGATGACTGAATGTTTATTTGGAAACAAACAATAAAAACTGAAGGGAACAATAAATACTGAGTATTGATTATTGATTGGCAACATGCTGAACATGTAAGGCACATGAGGTCAGCTGACCTTCTGGCACCGGCACACCTGGGCAGGTGAGCCAGAACCATTAGGCCAATCATCTGGCAGCAGCAGCAGGAAGGGGCGGAGTCAGAGCTCATCAGCTCTTCAGCTGCTTCCTCTTCTTCACCAGTTCAGCCAGCATCTTACACCGGGTCACGCAGTCCTCCTGGAACCAGAACGCAGATGGAACCGGGTCAGAACCAGACCACAGAGGGAACCAGAACCGGGTTGCCTCACCTTGGTCTTTCCGGGAACCACCTTGGCGATCCGGTCCCAGCGTTCTGCGGTTCCGCGGGGGAACTGCTGCAGGGCCAGTTCTAGAAGCTTCTGCTGGTTCTGCGTCCAGACGGCCATGTTCTCCTGAAGCTCCGCCTCTTCCTGTTCCTCCACCGCTGCCGCTGGGTCAAAGTCCTTCTGCCGCCGGCCGCGGACCTTCCCCTCCCAACCATCCGCACAGGAACTCTTCTTGTTCCTCTTTCGGAGCACCAGAGCAGCTTCCTCCTCCTCCTCTTCCTCCTCTTCACTGACCCCACCCACTCTCTGAGTGATGATGTCATCCACAGGAAATGACCTCACAGGAAATGGAGGAGACTTTAAATCTGAGAGTTTGACGAGAGCTGGAACATGAGAGAACAGAAGTTCCATCAGAGTTCTGCTGGGTGGAACCAGATGTGAAGGACAGAACCTCAAATTGAGGGAACCTGAAACTGTCTCAGTTGGACCTTAGTGTCACAGCAGAACCCAAAATAAACCCAAATTCCAGGAGCTGAAGAACAGAACCGAGGTACCTGAGGTTTGATTCACATTGTCTTTCATCTGTTTGACTTTGGTTGTCACCTGCAGTAGGAAAAACGATTCAGGTCAGCAACACATGCAGAATCGAATCCACCACAAATGGACTTGGACCGGAACCCATACCGGTCCAGGGGAACCAGGACCAGGTTTCCCTGGACCCTGAGACCAGTGATTTCTTCTGGAAACAGCTTCAGACTCACAGCGGGAACAGATCGTCCGAGTTCCTGGGCAATCTTCTCCCATCGGCCCGGAGTTCCTCCAGGGAATTTCACCATCAACCTGCTGAGGAGGCTCAGGTCATCCTCTGTCCACCCGGACTCCTGGAGGGTAAAGAAGATATGCACTGTATGCCAGGCACAGGGGGCGACACGATACGGGGGCGGCACAATACGGGGCAGCTCGATACAGGGGCGGCACGATAAGGGGGGCGGCTCGATACGGGGCGGCACGATAAGGGGGGCGGCTCGATACGGGGGCAGTTCGATACAGGGGCGGCACGATACGGGGCAGCACGATACGTGGCGGCACGATACGGGGGCGGCACGATAAGGGGGGCGGCGCGATACGGGGGCAGTTCGATACAGGGGCGGCACGATACGTGGCGGCACGATACGGGGGCGGCTCTATAGATGTGGGCACCAAAATGCTGGAGTAATTCCTAGTCACCATTTTCTTTAACAGCAGTTTGAGGAATGACTAAGGTCCTCAGAAAGACAGAGGGACAGGCTGAGGACAACTGTCTCTGTAGTGTTCAGTGTCCCATCAATCGCGTCTCACCTTTTTCTTGGGAGCCTTGGCGTCCTGTAGCCAGTTGTCCATCTGGTCCTCAATGTCCTCGATGGACGTCGTCTGGTCGTAGTTCTGCTGTGTCTCTGGAGGAATGAAAACCGGAAACTCCACTTTGGGTTTCTTCACCTTTGGCCGTTTCTCTCCTGGCAGAACAGAGGCAGAATGGGTTCTGGATCAGGTTCTGGATGGGTTCTGGATCAGGTTCTGGATGGGTTTTAGACTCTTGCAATTTGTTTTAATCTTGTGGGTATATTCAATTGTGTTTTCCTTTGTGTAACCAGGTAGCTGCTGCTGTGCTGCAGATTTCTGCCTCTTGAAAGTCAGATGTGGATCTCAGTGGTTTCACCTGCTGACAGGACAGAAAAGGACAGAAAGGACAGAAAGGTTTTTACTCGGAGCAGCTTCCTGTTGAGCTTCAGCTTCCTGCTTCGTCTGCCGGTAGTCCTCGTAGTACTGCTTCACCTCCTGGAACAGAGACCGGGTCTGAGACCACAACCTGGACCAGAACCAGAGTGAGGTCTGATGAAGACCATGATGATCCTAAGACCTGGACTCAACCTAGGTTCTGGTCCGGTCCAGTCCCCTACCTGTACGGTCTGTGGCAGGTTCTTGAGAGCCAGGTAGAGCCAGATGCTGAGCTTCAGAGGGAGGATGTCCTGCCATTGCGGTCGCTCATGGCTCCTGCAGCAACAATGCAGCAACATCAGAAGGAAGTACGGAAACTATGGCGCAGGTGATGTCACAGCTGTACCTGTCGGAGCGGTCCTGACCGATACACCTGAGCTCCTCGGCGGGTCTGGAGCTCAGCTTCTTCTTCTTCTCCTTTTTTTTCCGACTGAGCAGCTCATCCTGGAAATGTCACATGACATGCTCTGCTCTGATTGGCTGTCTGAGCGCTGCTCTGCTCTGATTGGCTGTCTGAGCGCTGCTCTGCTCTGATTGGCTGTCTCACCAGCTGCTTTTCCAGGTAGATGGACCAGATGACGGCGTAGTGTCCCACAGTGAGGATGAGGAAGAGCAGGAAGCCCAGCTCGGCGTTGCTCATCTTCCTCACGCGCCGGTAGTAGAAGACGGGCTGCCGCCAGTCGGGGAGGCCGTTCTCCAGGATGTCGTCGTACCTGCAGAGACACACCTGGTGACCCGCTGACCTCCAGGGAGGACAGGCATCCCTCGGCTGCCTCACCTTCGCCGTCTGTCCTCGTCCTTCAAAACTTCATAGATGGCCACCAGCTGAGGACGGACAAGGAAGACCATGAGGTTCTGGTTCTGGAGGTCGGGTCCACCCACCTGTCTGAACTGCGTCTCACCTGTCTGAACTGCGTCTCAGCATTTTCATCTTTGTTCTTGTCAGGATGGAGAGTCAGAGACAGGCGACGGTACGCCTTCTTTATGTCTGCTGCCGCCGCGTCCTGCAGGGGGACAGGTGAAGAACAATGAGGCCTGATCTATTGGGTGTAGCTCTATGCTCTGGCTGACGTTGTGCTCCATCAGGGTTTCTCTTGTCGCTGTGGCCAGAGGCAAAACAAAAGCCTCCAGAAATTCAAAATGAAGGTTTTTGTTTTAATATACGAGATATAACTGGCCCATATTTCCACACTTAGTCCAGCCATGATCAGAGTTTGACATTAATTTAGATGTCAAGAAACTATGACAGTTAAAGATGCTTCTGCGATGACAGCATTCACTATAAAGACACCAGTGGAAAGAAAACGACGCCAGCTTTGGAAGAACTCATGTCTGCAGGAATATTTTGCAGTTTCTCTCAGTGGGTTGCTGAGCTTTTATTGTTTTAGAACATTATTAAGATACGTAGCGTGCTACTGACTGCACCCCGCGCTGACTAACTGCATCTTAACACCTAAAATAAAGTTATTAACGTTGAAATGTTGCTAACATGTTAGGTCCATTGTTTTCTTCTGTGATGCTCTCCGGCCAGCTAACAAAGCTAACAAGAAAGAAACTCACCGCCTTGCTGGAAGACGGAACCAAAGCTGAAAACGTCTAAAAACATATTTCTACGTAGATTACCCAAGTCAGACCTTTTGGTAGAGATGAGCTGTTCAGTAGTGACTCGATTCTTTTGAACGGTTCTCTGAACGGCTGGACTCCAGTCTGTTTTTCAAACTTAGCTCTCCTCACATCCACAGCTGCTGCTTCATTTAATTTAAAATTATTTAATTTGGAATAATACAACAGATAAAAACAACTGACAGAAATGTGTGAATAATTTTAATATTTCAGGAGAAGAGGATTTTTGTTTCTATATTTTGATTTGAACAAATATTAATTCTGTCCCCCATTTATTCTTTATTTTACATTAATTTTAGAATCACTAACTGAACTTTCTGAAGCATTTGACAGAAGCTTTGTTACAGTTTATTTTTTACATTTGACCAAAAAAGTCAACCAATTATTTTTGTCAGTTTCTTTATAATTCATCTCCCCCTACCTGCACTGACTGAACAGATTAAAGTTGTTTTTCAATGTCTGACCAGCTGGTGGCGCTGTACTGCTGCAGAGTACAGCGCCACCAGCGCTGTAATTCAGAACAACAGATCTAGAGTCATAGATCTATAGTTACAGATCTAGAGTCAATGCACAGCTTCAGTTATTACAACTAAAACCAGCGATCAGCCCAAAACCTGGGAGTAGTGATGGACTCTGACCTGAACCTTCAGAGCCACATTAAGACAGTCACAAAGTCGGCCTTCTATCACCTGAAGAACATCTCCAGGATCAGAGGACTGATGTCTCAGATCAGAGAAACTCATCCATGCGTTTATCTTCAGCCACATTGATTACTGCAGCAGCGTCTTCACAGGTCTGACTAATAAATCAGTCAAACAGCTGCAGCTGATCCAGAAGCTGCTGCTGCTGTTCTCACTAAAACCAGGAAGATGGAGACATAAGACCAGATCTACAGTCCTACAGCTGTAGCTCAGAGAACAGACTGTAAAATCCTGTTAGTTTATAAATCACTGGACGGTTTAGCACCACAACCATTAAAGATCTGCTGCTGCTGTATCAACCTGCCAGACCCTCAGGTTCTGGTTCTGGTTCTGCTCTGCATCCAGAACCAGAACCAAACGAGGAGAAGCAGCATTCAGCTTCTATGCACCACAGATCTGGAACAAACTTCCAAAAAACGGTAAAACAGCTGAAACACTGACTTCCTTTAAATCCAGACTCCTGGTTAGTTTTATTTGAAACGTGATCAATTTATCGACTTAATGTCTCGTTTTATTGTTGATTCTCTGCTGCATGAATTTGTTTCTGTGTTTATGATGTAAAGCTCTTTGAAAAGCCTGCTGCTGACATGAGCTGTACAGATAATATTAGATTGATTGATTGATTTGGGTCAGACTAGAACTCATCTGTTCTCTCTGACCTTCAACTAAAGATGGAGGAAAACTGCTGCAGCTAAAACTCAATGTTTGGTTTTTATTCACACTATTAGCTTTTGGAATCTCTGCCAATTTATATTTGTCTTATTTTTACTAAATTTGATTTCTAGTTTTCTACTAGTGATGTTTGTTGGAAATGAGCGATAGAAATAAATTATATCTGCTTTCTTAGTTGTTTATAACCCAGTTTAATAAATAATAATAATAATAATAATAAATGTTCCGGAGCTTCTGGGTTTTTAGGCTTCCGCGGCTGTTGGAACCGGACCAGAACATTTGGACCCGAATCTGTTCTCCTGAACCGAGTCCCGAACCTGGGCTTCCCGCCTGGAGGACCAGGGAAAACCTCCGGAACCTCCAGGACCCCGGACGGGTTCTGTGTGGGTTCGTCTCTCCCAAACAGCTGGCAGCAAAACCCGGAGCGTACCGTGACGTGGTGCCGGTCCCGGGTTTCCATGGAGACGGACTCACCTTATCCAGGTGCAGGAATTCGTAGAAGTTCTTCGGAACCTCCTCTACAAGGTCCAGGAGCTCCAGGTCTGCCTCCCAGCCCCGAACCAGAACCAGAACCATGCTCAGGACCAGAGGCCCGCTCAGACCCGCACACACCCGCATCTCCGGGACCAAACGCCGCTGGAGGAGAACCGGACCCGGAACCAGGACCAGAATCGGAACCAGGACCAGGTAACGGGCCGGTGTGGGGAGCAGCTCAGACAGAACCGGAAACTCCGACACGTCCTCGAAGGTTCTGCTGCTTTTCTTCCTGAGCTGATCGAGTTACTGGGTCGGTACCGCCCCCTGCAGGCCTGGAGGAGCCGCTGCGACGGATTCGGAACCTCCCGGACCTCTGGTTTCAGAACCACAACAACAGGAGGAGTCCGGCTCTAGTCTTGGAACAGAACCACCATTCTGGGTCCAAACGGGTCAGAACATAAGTTTCTGATGGTTCCACTGACGGGTCGAGCCACTGAAAACCCAATAAGGCTGACCGGACCGGACCGGATTAGACCTCAGCATCCAAGTGTAAGCAGAATCACAGGACGACCCAACAGAACCTGAGTGAGGCGGGTTAGCAGCCAGGATCTGGTCAGTGTGGACCCAGACACTGGGTTCTGGACCCAGTTTGACCAGCAACATGAATCTGAAACACCAGAACCAATTACAGGGTGTACTTACTTTTACACCATTAAATCATCAAGTTACATTTTTTTATCCATAATATAAAATATGATCTAGAAAAAAAAAGCTAAAGATCGAAACAAAACAGACTCCAAATCAGTCACACTTTGTGAGTTCTGATCCAGTTCTGGTTCTGATCCAGTTCCTTTTTAAAAAGCTTTTGTTGACTCTAGTGTCCATTATTGGGGAGCGGCCGGACAGGGGGGCAAAGGTCATCAGGCCCAGACAGGAACCTGCGACATCCGAGTCGAGAACTGAGGCCTGTTTACATGGGATGTGCTCAACGCCACCACAGAACACTCTGATCTGGTTCTGATCCGGTTCTGATCCAGTCAGCGGCTAACAGCCTTAGCCAGTAAGCCAAGTGGAGGACGTTGGAGGGTTTGGTGGATCGCTGGATCCAGAACATCAGGAGGTTAAATACAACCGCCTCAAACACTCGGTAGCACTCATGGCTGACAAGCCGGATCCGAACACAAGGACTTGGAGAAACTGAAGGACTTGGAGAAACAGGAGGACTTGGAGAAACTGAAGGACTTGGAGAAACTGAAGGACTTGGAGACACTGGACTTTTTGTTTATTTGAATGGGGACAGAGTGAAACAGTTCTGAACATTTATAGCCTTGCTAACTAGCAAAGCCGTAAACAATTTAAAGAACAGCAGGACACAACGTGACATCACACATCTCCAATTAACTTAGCACAGACTGCAGGGAAAAAGGAGTCGTCATGGCGACATCATGGCAACAATGGAGCCGTCACGGTGACATCACGGTGACATCATGGTGACATCATGGTCAGGTACTGGTGGTTCCAGTCAAGTTGGTTCTGCCTGATGGGTCTAGTGAGGTTCTGAGTTCGCCTTCCATCCAATCAGCTGTCTTCTTCAGGCTCCACCCCTCTGGGTTCGTAGAGGTCGGCCAGCTTCCAGAACCTCGAGGCCCACGTCATGAGGAAGGAGAAGTTCTGGTCGGGTTCTGCTGGGCCCGGCGAGCTGATGGAGCTGATGGAGCAGATCGAGCACGCCGCCGAGCCGCGACCATTCCAGGACATCGGCAGAAAGTCAGCAGGGGGCGCCGTGTGGTCCAGGTTTGGCTTCAGCAGCTGGGGCTTTCGGGCCTCCAGGTCAGCGGAACCGCCGGTCGGGTCGGGCCGGTCCAGGTGTCTGAGGGCGGCCATGTTGAAGGCCTTGGTGTCTTCCTCGCCGCCACCTTCGTCATCGTAACAGGCGAAGTTCTCCTGGGCGTCACGCTCTTCATCCTCCACCTCCTCCTGTCGCCTGGACCTGACTGCAGCCGTTACCATGGCAACTCCTGAGGAGGAAGGAGACATTGAAGCGGTCCGGTCTGGTTTCGATCCGACCGGACCGCTTCACTTTGCGTACCCAGGAATGTGAGCAGCCCGGTCAGGACCGCGGCGGTTGCCACAGCAACATGGTGCGGCTCGTCCCGGCTGCAGTGGCGCTGGTTTCCATAGCGATCACAGCGACAGACGGAGACGGTCAGCGTGTTGGTGCTACTGAGGGACGGACGGCCGCTGTCCGCGATCACCACGGCAACCAGGTGGACGGGTTGGTCCCGCAGCCGCAGGCCGGGCTGCAGCGCCAGAACTGAGGCGGTGTTGTCTGCAAGCAGAGAAACGAGTCAGCAGCCGGTTCCGGCCCAGAGTCCCGGCCCGGTTCCGGCCCAGAGTCCCAGGCCCATACCACCGTTGTCAGTCAGGCTGAAGCTGAGGTTTGCATCACTTCCTGCAGGCAGTGAGAACAGGAAATGATGTCCGTCCTCGGGGTCGTCCGGATCCATGGCGCTCAGAATCCCGACGACCTGCAGGAGGAGACGCAGAGGTCAAGAGGTCAGCCGACTCCTCGGCTTCACCCGGGTGAAGCTCACCTGGCCGGGCCGGACGTCCTCGCAGATCAACGTCCGGGACTCGGCACCGAAACTCGGCGGATTGTCGTTAACGTCCGTCACAGAGACCAGAACCAGAGCCGAGCCGGCCTGAGACGGGTCCGCTGCAAACACAAGCACACCTATCAGTTGGCAGCCAATCAGGGCTCCACGCTGCGCACCATGTGACCTACACGTCTCCATGGCGATGATCGTGATGTTGTGCTGAACTCTGACTTCACGGTCCAGAAACCTGCTGGTTCTGATGGTACCGGAACTGCTGTCGATGTCAAAGAATCCTCCGATGTCCGACTTCCTGTCTATGGAGTACCTGAAGACAGAAGGACACAGAGGGACAGGTGGACAGATGGACGGAGCAGGTCCTGAAGCTGTCCACTCCACCAGTACCTAATGGGACTGTTGGACCGGTCCGGGTCGTGGGCCGACACGGCGCCCACACTGGTTCCGACCGGAGCGTCCTCTGACACGGACAGGTGATGGACGGACTCGGAGAAGACAGGGGACTCGTCCTCGTCCTCCACCTGCAGCTGGACCAGAACCTCGTCGTTGAACGGACCGGCCAGCAGGAAGCGGGCGTCCGTCTGCCGGTTGGACGCCTCGACCCGCAGCAAGTAGCTGGACTGGACCTCAAAGTCCAGGCCCTGGGGGACAAACCAGGTCAGAGCCAGGACCGGGTCAGAACTAGAACCAGGGTCCAGAACCAGTACCTTGAGCAGCATCAGCAAACCCTCCTGTGTGTTTGGATCCGTAAGAACCCGGAAGGTTCCCGGTCCATCTCCATCCAGAACCCGGTACTCCACTTCGGCGTTCTGACCCAAGTCCGGGTCCACGGCTTTTATCCGGGCCACCACGGCTGGTGCTGGTACCGACTCCGGAATGCTGAACCGGTAGTTCCCTGTGGGACCGGAGGGGGCGTCATAATGAGCCTGTCCACAGGTCAGAGGTTAGGGTCAGACTCACTGCGGGGGAAGCGCGGTGGGTTGTCGTTGACGTCTGTCAGCGTCACGGTAACCGCCGTGGTTCCGGACAGAGCCCCCCTCCGACCCAACAAGTCCCGGGCCTGGACCACCAGCTGGTACCGGTCCCGAGTCTCCCGGTCCAAGTCCGGGAGCGCGGTCCGCACCACACCTGGAGGACCGGGGGTCAAAGGTCAACAGGCAGAACCACCAGGAAGACAGAGACTTGTAAAGATGAGTGAACCGTGATAACTACAGGATCTGCCTCCCTTCTGTTCCTCAACAGAACCAGCTGGCTGGTACCAAAGGGTTCTGGTAGCAACATCTGGACCAATCAGAGCCAGATTCTGGGTCAGAACCAGGCCCTACCTGTGTTTGGGTCTACAGTGAAGTACGGCCCGCCCTGCAGGAGGCTGTAGACGATCTGGGCCGCGGTTCCGTAGGTTGGGTCGTCGGCGTCGGTCGCCGTCACCGTCACCACAGATGTTCCTGCACACAGACACAGCACTGCCACCCAGAGGCCGCTGAGAGCACTGCGGCCTCAATACATACAGCTTGCACTGTAGTCACAGAACCTTTCACAATAAAAGCATGTCTCTTTCTGAGGTTGCCTCTGACGGGCTGCTAAGCTTCAGGTTCAGGTTGAATTCAGGTCAGGTTCAGTTTAGGTTCTGGTTCTGCAGACTGTCTCACTAACTGTAACCAGAGCAACCAGCAGGACCGGTCCGGACCCACCTGCCGGGGCCCGCTCAGGAACCCTGGCGGCGTAGGGGCCGTCCAGAAACCTGGGAGCGTTGTCATTGATGTCCTGGACTCGGACGGTGAAATGGGACTCGGGCTCCAGCAGCAGTTGGCTGATCCGGTCCCGGACCTGGGCCCGCAGGACGTAGGACGCCTGCAGTTCCCGGTCCAGCCTGCGGGTGGCGTGGATGTCTCCGGTCCGTTCGTCAATGGTGAAGATGGACATCGCTCCGTCGCCACTGAGGTGGTACGTCACCTGACCGTCTCCTCTGTCCAGGTCAGAGTGGAGCTGCAGGGGAAGAGACCAGTTGGCCCAGTTCTGCCACTGCATGTCTTGTCAACAATAATAATGATCAATATTATTGTCATTATTATTAATGATAATAGCATTATTAATAATAGTAAGAATTTATTATTCTTACTATTACTGATTATTAATGACATATTTTAATCCAGGCTCCTGGAGGATTCTGGGAGTTTGCCCAACTGGTCAACATGCGCTTTGTGGACTTGGACCGTGTCCCTCGGGGAGCCCTGCGGGGGGCGCTTCGGGAGTATGAGGTATCTTTGTGTCTTTGGGTTCCCTGTATAACCGGTACCAGAGTCTGGTCCGCTTTGCCAGAGTTCTGACTGGAACACCGGTCTTATGGGAAATTCTGCCCCCTGTGTCGAGAGGTTGCACTGCAGCCAGAGAGGATCCTTTCATGTTCACGGG